AGATGCCCTGCCAGATGCCCAAGCTGGCGCCTGTCCGCGGTCCCTCGATCTCCCCATTTTTTTGGGCCTCCCAAAGTGGCGGCCAAGGCTTCCGGATGAACATGGTCCTTTTGGTGACCCAAAGGGTGGTGAAAGCCAACACGGTGTTCGGTCCCGGCAAAATGTTTTGCCGTGTCGGCTTTTCAGAGCGGCTTGCCCGAGGTTGCAGAGGTACCGCTTTTGGCGCTGCCGCGGCAACATGCCCCGAGGAGATTGCTCACTGGTCAAACAGCCGAGCTCGGGAGTTGAGGCCGGCTGTCCAGCCGGGTCCAAGAGGCTGTGCCTACATCCGATCCTCAGGCTTTCCTTTTTCCCATCCGCAGTGTCCAGGGATCATGCTCTGGCTGGCCATGACCATCCTCATAATTACTTTCCTTTTTCCCTCCCCAGAATGTGCGGGGAACACGCGGGCCAAGTCCGGAGTGAAAGTTGTTGGCACGGCTCCGGGCTGAGACGCCTCAGTTTTTGATGGCCAAAACGAAGTGGGCACCCTCCACTGCGAGCTGTTGACTGGGCGGAATGGGTGGTTGAATCCTCCGACTCCAGACGCCATTGGCTGGCCGCGACTCAACCATGCCTGGCTGACAGCAGTCCCAACTGCCACCGCCTTTATGACTTCGGGTTTGGGTGAGGGCTACCGCGTTCCCTCGGAAGTGACTTACCTGATTGGAGCCGGGAGGTCTCTGCTTGGGGCCGCTGGCCAGGGTCCGCGCAGGAGTTCTGGGGGAGATCTGGGGCGAGCCGAGTTCCGGAAGTTCCGGGCCCGGCCGAAGCCTCGGTTCAAGGAGCCTCAAAAAAGCAAAAATCAACATAATCGGCTACTTGTTTTTCAATTGGTTGGCGGGCAGCTTCTTGTTTCCGGCGATTTCACCTTGTACAGGCCGTCTTTGTGGCTCTTGTGATCTTGCCAGTAGCCTTTTTCGACCAGAAACTTGTGGATGGTTCGTTGGATGGTGCGGTGAAGCTTGATTTCCTCCCGGTCTGACACCGATGGGCTTCTATAAGAGCCGTTACAGCACGCCGAATTGCGAATGGCTCACCGGCGTGCTGTAACGGCTCTTATGGAAGCCCATCGGTGTCAGACCGGGAGGAAATCACGAACATTTTCATCACACATCCGCATGAAGAGCGGTTTGGCGGCCAGAATGTGGGAATGTCACAAAAAATACCAGGTACCCCGGTACCCCCCCTTTTGACGATAAACAATGGGGTGTCCTTAAACAAATGAGGTTTCCTTGTGGTTTCCCACCCTCAAACCACAGATGTCCATGTATGATACCGAGCCAATGAGGTCTCCGCATTTTGCTGGTGAAGACGGACCAGGGCGTGGCTGCTCGGGTGGAGTCCGGAGCCAAGAGACGGGGTGGGTTTGGCGGGGTGCCCCGTGAGGGAGGGGGAGTTGGGGCTAGGTGGCATGTCGTTTGAGATGAACAGCTGGCAGAACGACACACCTCCAAGCAGAGTTTTATCTCTTGTGCTGTCGGGGCTAGAACGTCGGGCTGCAAGAAGATCATTCCAACGGGATCATTTGCCCAAGCGGTGCTTGTCCGGCAGGTGGGACGGGGTTTTGCGTGGCTCAGCCTGCAGCCTTTCGCGGGTTGGTTTGGAAAGTGAAGCTGATCGGTGGATCAAGTCTAAAGGGGCGACCATCTGTTGCAGGTTCAGTTGAGCAAACAGGGGTAGGTTATTGTTTTTGCAATGTTGTTGGAAGACTTGGGTCGTTTCTAGTGAAGATTAGTTGTGGACATTTGTGGACTGATCCGCCTCAGAGGTCCATTTCTTGTTTGGACTGAAAATCGGTTGACCCCTTCCCTCCCCAGTTTAGTGTGGAGGATTTAGAATACATGTTCGCAAGATAAACTCAATTGCAAGACGATAGCTCACATGAGCAAGGCACCGTGAGCAAGAGATTCAGAGCTACACCGTATCTGAGCAAGACTCGCATGAGAAGAAGGGCAAGATAATTACGAGCCATATTACATGAACTCACGCATGAGCAAGGTACAGCCAATACTACATGAGGGTTGAACAAAAGGTCCTGTACATGGGGTGACCATTGGGGAAACCACCAAAAAGATGACTTCCACCGAAAAGCCCATGGTCATTTTGGAATGTCGATCAACCCCTATTAAAAAAGGCACACATGAGCTAGTGTCGGCAAACAACAACTGCAGGAGCAAATTCGACAGGACCAAGATACACTTGAGTAAGGTACGTATGAGCGCGCACCACACGCAAGCACTTGTGGCTAGCACCAGTCCGAGCAAGCTAAGAGTTCTTTTGGTCAGACTGTAGCGCAGTTGGGCCTGGCCTGGCGAAGTTGGCGCGCTGAGGCGATCCTTTGGTGAGGCGCAGGCGCGAAATCGCGAAATCGCGTCCCTTCGTGTGAGGGGTTGCCCTTGTCCACAAACGAGGCTTCAACGACGTGGCATTTGCCACGCCTTGGGGCCACTTACTTGCACAGAGGGAACGCGATTCCCACAAACCCAGAGGGCGCCTGGGGCTGGCAGCTTCGTTTCGGCTGCCAGAGTCCAGTTGGAGCACAGCCAAGCGAGCTGAGTCGAACTCGTAGCAATCAAACTGGCTCACGCTGCATGCAGCCCAAGCCACATGGCTCAAGGATACTCACAAAGAAAAGTCCTACTATCTACATGAGAGGCCGGGTGTCGAAGCGTTCGGCCGTACGGGTCAACATGGATCTGAAGCCAGTGAAGCGTGGAGCACAGGAGTTTCTGAACAGCATGTTATGGCTGGGAATGTTGATGGGGAATACCCTCCCAAATGGTTGATCCCTACCGAAATGATGGCTTCCAAAGTTTCCAATTTATAATTCATACCCTTCTGCCGCCATTTCAGATGTCACCAGGACACCGAGAATTTTGTCACCAGAGAGAGTGATCTTAGGTTCATGTCTTGTTGCCTCCGCAGGTATTTTGCTGCTTTTGGCGGGCCATGCGCTCGCACTGGATTTTGAGTTGGAATGCGAGGATTGCGAGGTGAATGTGCGGCTTGGCCAGCATGGAACAAACAGGTGGGTTGTCTCTTTTTTTGGGGGGACCCCGTCAAAATGGTGGTTGTCCTCTTGACTTCCCTTTACAAACCATGGGAAAAGGGCTACATCAAAAAATGACACACTCAAAATGAGGACCTGTTCCCAGACTCTGCTCCTCACTCGTTTTTCCGTCCCTTATTTGTCTTGTTCTCAGGCACAGATGAGGCTCAAAGTCAAGAGGCTTCGGATATACAGGGGGCTTCCGACATGTTTGCTTTGCATGTCATTGGCCGCTTCAGCCGTTCTTAGTCCCTTGGCTTCATGCGGGTTAGAGATGCATAGAGATGCTGCCTTGCAGTTCGCCAAATCCAATCGCAGCTTTCGGGAGTACCGCTTTGGCTTGGGCGAAGGCTGCAGACAGGGTTTCATAGTTTTGTTTTTGGCGGCTTGCCTACAAAAGGTCGCACAGTGGCGTGCACGAACTCGCCTACCGACAACTGGGATAGACTTAGGGTACATTTTACACTTTACCAGTGACTCAAAGTGAAGCAAGCCATAAAATATACATTCTATGACTGGGCCGAACTCTAATCTTCCATTTTTTTGCTTAAGAATATTTGTTATTTTCCCTCGTTGGTTTGAAAGGGAACCTATGACTACTGGACATATTTTTTCCCAGGGGCCTTAAGCAATTGGAAGCAATCATGACAAAGTTGCCTTGAACCGCGGGCGGCGGTTTTCGGCCATGGCCATCGGCTTTGAGCCGATTGAGGAGCTTGTTGCAGAAGAAGCTTGACCTTCAGCGGGCTGCCAAAGACACGCGGCCCAACCTGTGCCCCGGCAATGATAGCCTAATGAAGATGGAACCTACCGGGGGGTCTTCCAGGAGCCCCCTGTCAGGTTCCATGTGAATTGGTGGGAGGGTGCGCTTTTGCATGTTGGTGGCAGCGAGACGTGCCATGGGCGCTGGGGTCGTTGGTAGATACGCAGCGCGCGCCAGTGTGGTGATAGGCAGGCCTTCTTTGCTTCTTTCGACTGGATGCGGCCGAGCAAAGAGTGTGCGTCAAAATCGGGGACCCCCAAAAATTGTGGTTTTCCTTTTGGTTTCCCTTTGATCCGGGGCCCCAGCAAAGGGCACCCTCTTCTTGAACATGTTTGGTCTTCTGGCGGTTGCGTTCCCCGATGCGTTTGTGAGACAGGCTCCTCATCGTGCTGGACCAGTGGCGCTTTGATTTCACGGGATCGCTCCTTGGCAGTGTGGAAAATGCACCGAATGGTGGATACATGTCTTGGGTGGTTGTCTTAAACGGGGCCAAACAGGAACCCTCCCTTTTAGGGGACTCCCATTGAATTTTGAGAAACACCCACCTGGCTGCAGCTCTAAAATAGGGTTCCTGCCCCACCCTCAGTTGCGGGGGAGAAGCCGCCAAAACGTGCGGTGTCCTGGGCCCGCACTTGAGCCACACCCAGATTTGCCATCTGCCAGCTTTGGATCCTTTGGCTTTTCGGGTGCTCACGTGCGCATATGCGCGCATGCATGCGCTTTTTGTTGTGCGCGCACGCGCGCCTTGAGTGACATGGGCACTTGGTCTTCTCAAGCAGGTGTCGTGTTGTTTTTGTTTGGGGGGGGGGGTTGAGGGCAACCTCCTTTTGAATGTTGGGATAGTTTTGAGGGAAACCAATCCTTTCATTGGTTCTTTTTTTTTTGTGAGACACACCCAGGTACCTTCCGTCAGCGAAACGGCTGGCCAAAGAAGGGGTGCGCTTCAACCGCGCGTACACGGCCTCACCCATGTGCAGCCCCGCGCGTGCGGCCCTGCACGCGGGCAGGGAGTTTGCACACATGCATCCCGGCATCCGTAGAGACTTTGTTGCTCAGTGGGTCGCATCCTTTTTTCAACTTTTTTTTGGGTAAGGGCTCTAATTCCTTTAAACTCACCCCCCCCCAACAAAACAAAAGAAAGAAAGA